TGCCAAAGCAATCGACTACATTACATATTTATCGTTTGTAAGTAGGATTTCGAGGTTACCAGTAAATCAGTTATATGAGATGCGTTCACAATGTTTCATTCAAGGTGACGACTGTTAGATTAATTTTCCCAGTGATATAAGTAAACCTTAGGTTTCCATTGAATTTCGCATAGCCTTGTTTCCCAAAAGGCTTATCTAGATTTAATTGAGGTTTAAACCTTGGCTTTGGCGTATTCAAATGTTTATACAACACGCAAAAACTTAAGTATAAGTGTCCTGATTGGTTGGAAAACTAAAAAGGCATCCTCTATCTACCTTAATCTAAATATTTTAGTTTTATTTTCGAGTACATAGAGAATGTGGGGCAGAATAGACTAGTCACCATGACTTGAAGCTTTTAGGACGTCTGACATATCACGAGCAAAAGCTCGGTCCGTTTTCACTTAAATAAGCAATTCTGATGGACTGCATCAACCTGAACGTCACAGTAGAATCAAACGAATGCAGAACGAGGGTAATCAACCGTTGTCTCCTATTAAGATCAATCAACAAATCTCTTCATTAGGCAACTTCATACGAAACGAAAATCAACACAGTAAGGTTACGCCTAAACTAAGCAATTCTTCATACATAAACTCATCGAGAGTTTAACAAGTGAATGGGAGGAAGATAATAATGGTGGACCAATATAAAAAAACATACGTGTTATTCGTCGATTCGAATTCCAGATCAATATTATTGAGATCAAGGGCACCATTTGCAAAACGCTCTCGATTCATTTGGATGGCGAGCTACTTAAAAATATGCAAGGAAATGTGAATAGGGATACATAAAATTTATAAAGTTTCGAAGCTCATATTTGTATAAATATTGATAGATAAATGTGTCGTCTGTATGCATATACATAGGTATCTAGGAGTGATGCGTCGTCAGGACCCGGAACATCCACCTCCAAATGGATTTAAATAAATGAAAGGATAAATTTTAACACGAAGCTTAAAGAGCAGAAATTCACTAATCAAATGAAATGGCCTTTTCTCTTAATATATGACATTATATCTCAGTTCGTTTATTTATTTATTTATATTTATATATATATATATATAATAAGGAAGTGGAACTTCATAATAATGTATGAGAAAAAATTAACACTTCTCAGACGAGCCATCTGCTTGAGTCTTTTCGGCCATTTTTGTATCAGGGTGGTACAGGGCTTTGTGATTATGTGGTAATATCTTTGTGGGGGAGACCTTCCAATCCATTGGAGAGGTGGTTCCAAACTTTGCGCCTCAGCGCCCATGGGG